CTACCCATTACAAAGATAGAATCAGAGGCTAAATTTGTAGAAGAGATTGTAACCCCTAAATCATTAATACAAATATTATTTTGTACACGTTATTCTTGTTTCAGGAATCTCATGTTTACAGGCTTATCATGAAGCCTAAGAATTTGCCAGAGCCTACGCCAAAGGCACATTTGTTGGGGTTCAACCTCATTCGATACCTCTTTAGAATGGTGAAAGTTTCAGATAGGTTGGTGATGTGTTGGTCAGCATGTTTGCTCTTGACTAGCATATCATCAACATAAACTTCCATGCTCTTCCCAATCTGTTCGACGAACATTGAATTGACCAGTCTCTGATAAGTTGCTCCTGCATTCTTTAGGCCGAAGAACATGACTTTATAGCAATATAGTTCCCTGTCAGTAGTGGAGGCTGTGTGTTCTTGGTCCGGAGGGTTCATGAGGATTTGTTGTATCCTGAGTAAGCATCCATGAAGCTCAGGAGTTCACACCCTACCATAGAGTCTATAAGTCTGTCTATGAAAGGAAAAGGAAAGCTATCCTTCGGGCACCCTTTGTTTAGGTCGGTGTAATCGACACACATTCTCCACAAGACCTTTTGGAGCAAAAGACTTTCTTTGGTCGGATTTTTCTTAACAAAGACCACATTTGCTACCCATGTTGGGTAATTGACTTCGCGGACAAAGCCTATGCCTTTGAGCTTTTCAACTTCTGCCTTCATTGCTTTGTATCGTTCAGCGTCATAAGATATTCGCTTCTGTTTCACCAGCTTGGTCTTGGGGTCAATACTCAAGCAATGACATATGAAATCGGGAGATATGCCTGGCATGTCCTCGTATGACTAGGCGAAGACCTCAGTGTTCTCTTGCAAAAAAAGATATCAATGTCAATCGAATGGATGGTTACAAGGTGGTGCCAATCTTCACCATGCGATATGGATGATCTTTTGAGATAGAAACCTTCTCCAACTCTTCAGCGGGTTATGCTTGCTGGGTGAAAGAGTCATCTCGAGGATCGTCAGGTTGACTGTTGCCACTGTGAAGATCCAAGAAGATCCAAGTTGACTTCATTCGGGCTGGTCTTTATGACTTGTTCATGTATAGAAAGGGTTTCCTTGGGCACATGCATGTGCTGTTGCTTGACCGAAGTGTTGTAACATGATCGTGCACTAAGTTGATCTCCTCTGATGTAACCATTGCCATAGAGGGTTGGAAATTTCATCAACAACATATGTGTGGATACCATGGCCTTGAGATCATTGATGCTTGTGCGTCCAAAGATGACATTGTATGTCGTTGGGCAATCAACCACCAGGAAGTTAGTGGTAATGGTAGCTGTGTAAGGGCCGGTACGAATGGTGAAAGGTAGGTGTATGCTCCCTAAAGGTTGCACGATATCACCGGAGAAGCTTATCAGAGGAGAAATCGGGCGATCAAGCAACTGTTCAGCTACATTAAGTGCCCTGAAAGCTTCACCAAACATGATATTGACCGAAGCCCCCGTGTCTACCAGGATTCATCGTACTTCAAAGTTGGCTAAGTGAGCTTCCACGATCAGTAGGTCATTGTAAGGGTAGATGATACCTCTTTCTTCTTCAGGGTAGAAACATATTGGATCCCAGTTAGGCTTTTGATACTTGCCTCCCCTGATGTCTTCCAAGTGAAACACTTGGTGACAAGGCCTTAAAGTTCGTTCGCTGTTTTTCATGGCTCTGTTGGAAGATTCATATATGGGTGTGCCGCCGCTTATGGAATAAATCACATCCACTTGGCGTTGGTTACGGTTATAAATCACATTCACATGGCGTTGGCTAGGTTATCCCTTGAAGGATGAAGGAGGAATTGATCAATTTTTCCTTCACGCGCCAAAGCTTCAATATGATCACGAAGGGTGAAACATTTCTTACCGTCATGGCCGTTATGCTCGTGGTAGTAGCAAAACGTGCCCGTGTTCTTCATGGGCTTGTCACCTGACTGCCTCGACATTGGTTTCAGTATCAGGTGTGTTATGCTGGGGTAAATGGCCACGCATGTGGCATTCAAAGGTGTGTATGTGTCATACATCAGGGTAGGGTTTGTCCTGACACGTGCTTGGCCCACTATGTTGACTGCCTAGGGGCGGGCATTATCGTGGCGATACCTTTGGTTATCACAATAGTGTCCCTTACTTCTTTTACTAAAATAAAACTGGTGAGGATGGAAATCTTTCCTTTTGCCCTGAGGTTGATATGTCTGTTGACTTGTCGAAGTATTAAGTAAGGCAGGGAGAGGCATCGTTTTCATTTGGAAGGTCGAGGTTTTCTCATTTGGTTAGATCTGGCTTCCACTCCCTACTTGCTGATAAGGGGTGGCTGTGAGGGGTTTCCCTTGATATGTCCTTGCCTCGACGGAGGCATGGTTGTAAGCCTGTGCCATCACCTCAAAGTAAGTCTTCCAAGTGTTGGCATTAATCATGTACTTAAAGAAACAGTCACGTAGTCTTGCCGTGAAGGCTTTGAGGGCAGTCTTATCGTCTGCCTCGGCACAATGGGAATACTCATGGCTGAAACGACCAACATACATACGTAATGACTCGTCTGGCTTCTGGAGAATAGTGTACAAGTCATCTGCAGAGTGCAAGCGATCGGTCTGGAAAATGTGTTGAGAAACAAACAGTTTCCTCAATTCCTCAAATGAGTCTACCGTCTCAGGTGGAAGACGACAATACCAGTTTAGAGCTCCGCCAGAGAGGGTGAAGGGGAAGAGAAGACATCGCTTTTCGTCGGTGTGCATCTGGTATGCCATGGTGGACTTAAAGAGGTTAAGGTGTTCAATCAGGTCCTCCTTTCCAGTATAGAGTTGCAAGCCAAGCTTCTGTTTTGTCTTTGTTTAGAGGGGGTGTTGAAGATCCTCCTTGTAAGAGGGCTAAGCCCAGGTTGGTTCCAATAAGGTATCTTAGCTTGTCGTTTGGCCTTCAACTTGTTTACTTCCTTAAGGAGCTGTAGGACAAGAGGGTCCTGAGTGGAGTCGTGTACCACTGGAGCTTTCTTTCGTAAGTTTCCATCCCCTTTTGTAAGTAGGAAGGTTTGATCAAGAGCATGTGATTTTTTCCTGGACTCGCCGTACTGACTTCCAAGGTATGTCTATTGGAACATCTCTAAGTCCCCTATACCTTCGTGTTTCTCTAGGACTTGTTGCCCCTTCCCCAAATTGGTAGTCGGCCTGGGACATAGGAAGGGACTAAGTCTTTCAGAGACCCTTGGGTCATTGATCTTTGAGCTTACATGGATGAGATTGTCTCGACGTTGCTTTAAGAAGTCTCGACAGTCGCGAAAGACGGCTTTCTATTCTTTCACTCCTTCTGTAAGAATGTGTCTTCCCCCACTTCTCCTGCTTCAAGTTGAAACAGCTGGGTTGAGAGAAGTCTCATGTTGATCAATGTTTTGATGATTAGCTTGCTCCTCATAAGGGATACCCATGTCGAAGGAAGGTGACCCTCCGTGTTGGGGGGCACCAAGATGATGGTTGATGTCCACAGGGGTAACGAGCTTGCGTGTTTGAGTATGCCTAGTTTCGTGGAGCGTCTCAAAGAGCTTCTGTTATTGCTCTTGGAGGACCTCATTCTTCATTACTATCTTGTTATTCTGAGCTTCTAGCACATCGGCTTTAGCTTGAAGAACAACCCTCTTTGCTTCCTTCTTTCTTTGCCTCGCACCAAGTGTAAGAGGGGTATCATTCTGCATATTGTGGCTTCTTTCGCTCCCCATGTTGGAGAAGGATGCCTAGTGAAAAGAGAGTGTACGAATGGTGGAAACCACATTGACAAAGGTGAAGAGAATGGGAATAAGTGTCGTTCCCAGAGACGATGCCAAATGTTGATGCACAAAATCAGTGAGGACTTTGGTACAACAAAAAGTGTTAAGTTTATGACCTTCGCTAGATTGCTCCGGTCACTGGTGTGGATAAGTATGTAAATGGATAGAGACAGGGAAGCAAACACAAGATGTACATGGTTCAACTAGATTGGCTACGTCCACGGAGTAGAGGAGTTCTCATTAATTGTGAAGGGTTTACACAAGTACATAGGTTCAAGCTCTCATTTAGTGAGTACTAGTGAATGATTTAGTACAAATGACATTAGGAAATATTGTGAGAGAATGATCTCTATTTATAGAAGAGAGTTTCTAAGTTCATTCTGACATTGACACGTGTCGTGTTGTGATTGGCTTCTGATGTTGACACGTGTCACGCTATGATTGGCTTCTGATGTCGACACGTGTCGCGCTGTGATTGGCCTCCTGGTTGGAGGGAAACTCTTCTGGATCCTTGACGGTATAACGTTGACCAGTGCTCAGTAGTTTCGGGATTAGTCAAGTATGGTACAAACATCTGGTACTGAGTTTCCTTGAGTAGAAGAAGCTTATGACTTATGAGCTACAATAGCAAGTTGTCGACAATGCAGATCATATGGCAGAAGCGTATGCACAACGATAAATGGTTCCTTATTGTTTAGAGCACAACTTTATTTTAGAGAGAAAAGACACTGCTCTCTCATCAATTTGGTTCTATAAACATTTTTCATGTTGGTTTACAAGAGCCAATCATTGTTACATACGTATAAACCTATTTTTCTGCATTTGGAATTGAACAATTTCATATATATATGGCTCTCTCCTTAACCAACCAATATCAGAAGAACAAATATAGATTTTTTTTTTCCAAAACTTTTACTATTATTAAGGGGAGGGGGAGAGTACGAAACTATTATTTTGGAGAGGGGGGGGGGAGTTTTGAACTTGGAATGCATAGCTAGGTAAAAACCAACACCCTATACACCAAGATATTGGACCACAAGCATTAAGCTCACTATGTCTAGACGTCAACCCATTCAGCGAACTAAACTTGTCAATTCGATCTGATTCTGCTGTCCCAACAAAAAATGATATCCTAAACCGAATGCAGCAGATGAATAGCAAAGCATCTAAGATGGAAAGTGCAAGCGGTTCTCCGGTGATTCAAGTGCTTGTTAAGCCAGAAGCCAGAAGTTTTTGTGGGTCTTTGTATTGAGAAGGTAGCCTCCGTTTTGGCCCTTTTTCTGTACTCCCACACAAGTGCAACTGCTTTTATCAATCAGATACTCTGCTGTGTCTACTGGTTTTGCCCCTCGCGTGGAACCTCCAGGCCTCCTGTAACTGTTTGATGTACACAAAACAAAGAAATGAGAGAATTACCAAATAATTCAAGCTGATCAATCTTCCTATGGCACTTCACATGAGCATTTTCATAAGATTTGGGAGTTGAAGAATTTCTAATTTTGAATTTAATTCTCTGCTTAATTGTAATTTTCATTTTACAAACTAAAGGTCATACATCCATATATAGCACAATCTTTGGGCTAATTTTCGTTTGGGGACTACTTTTGTGAAAAGCACTTCTGCTCATGAATACTTTTTCTGGAATTGTTCTCTAGAAACCCTGGAGAAGCATAAGCATCAAGTGCTTCTTCAGAAGCTACCAACTGTGCCCAAAAGAGGTTTTGGTTGTCAAAAACGCACATTTGGGCATTTTAGAAGCAGTCCTAAACACGCTCGACTTAAAACTGAAAATCAAACAATGCTATGGTAAGTATATCAATCAACGTCGATATTCGTTGTAAAATGCAATGTAATTATTTGAGTGTATGAGAAAACACACCCTAAGATAACTGTAGAAAGACTCCGTCGTTGCCCTATAACAAGGACATTCACCCCAAGAACCTTGCTTTGATCTAGAATAATACTTGCTTTGTCCTTGCCTTCCATTAGTGCCACCTTCTCTACCCGCACACGCACTTTTGGTTTTGCAAGTTTGCATGCATTCTTCATTTCTTCAAGAAACTCCGTGTTCCCTAAGCTTCCTTCTACAGATGCGGTGGTGGAGCAGCCCCTAGGTCTTCTAAGGAACGTTGTTATTGTGTAACGCCATGAATTAGGGTTTTCAATATGGAAGAGGATCAATTCATCGTTCTCGAGAACCGCTTTAGAGAGTGCATATTGGAGTGCACCTGCTGACTCTTGTGTTGGATCTGCTACCACCATTATTCTCCGTGGCGATGCATTACGTCCATAGTCCATGTCCAGCAGGTATTGATACACCACCATCAACTGCCACCACCACCGTCACCACCCCGGTTGCTACCACCAAGTACAACCAGAAAACCCCAAAGGGTTTTGCATGTAAGAAGTTTCTTGTTCATGATTATTATTAATTAATTAGGGGAGTCTGTTACACCCATCCCTCCGGACCCGGACAATTTCCAGCGAAGCTCCTGCGGGAAACCATTTGAGATTGAAATGTTAGCTAAAAGTCTAACACATAAAACTTTCTTCTTCCTTTTATTTCAAACAGAATAATATTCTTTTAGTTATGTTTGTTATTCTTCTTTTCTTGGCCTGTGCATGCATTCAGATTTAAAGTAGCTTCGAGCCACTAAAGTTCAACAATTTTAAGGTTACAACTTGAAAATATCTGTCACTTGCTAAAAATAAACCTTGAAATATATTTATCTGCCACTACTAACGCAACAAGTTACTTACCAACAAACAACAACCGTAAAAGCAACCACAAAATACGAAGATAATGAGGAAAAGAAAAACTCTTCAAGAGCTCAATTGGAGAAAGAAATAAAAATTTCCTCATCAATCTACTTATCATGCTCTGATTGATTTTTAATTATGAAATTCTTTAATGTTACAAATAAGTTGAGTCTTCTCTAAAATATTGAGTTTCCAGTGTTTTTCTCTAAAAGTGTAATATTATCAAGCACTTATGCGATCTCTATGTACATTTCCTTTGTAATTTTCCTCGTTTTTCATTTTTTACTTTACAAATAAAATATTGTCACAATGTGGTATTTATGGTCAACTCAACATGTTTCCTGCTTGCATTCTTATGTATTTTTTTAAAGAATAAAATCCAGAATGTATTTTAAATAATGGGAGCTTACAAAATCAAAATGCAAAAGGGTATGTACTCTTCACATTACAAACACACTACTCAACAAGATTTAATCAACAAAAATACAAGGAAATAAATCTGAAAAACAAACTGTCTTGTGTGCTTCCAGAAGTTATTGCTTTCGTTCAGATTTGCTATTTTAGCCGTGAAGTTGACTTCAAAGAGAGCTAGAATGATGGATTTAGCCTGCTTAATGATAATTATACAAACGCGAGAGCTAAAACGACCAAAGTGAGCGTGCCGGAGTGGTTATCGGGCATGACTAGAAATCATGTGGGCTCTGCCCGCGCAGGTTCGAATCCTGCCGCTCACGTTTTTTTACAGATGCTTCCATTGAGAAGTGGTTTTTTTTTTTTTTTTTTTATTTTTTTTTTATACTATCCAAATACAAGACTTCCAAAAAGTAAGGAGTTAATAGGCTAGACGTTGTACGCTGATGATGTGGGTCGCGATAGAAAATCATTCTGAAAAAAAATAAAAAATAAAAAAAAATAAAAAACTGAGGTTATTTTGCCCCTCCCTGCACATGTCTAATAAAAAAATGACTCGGCTTCTCGACCCTCCCACTTTCCATACATTCATATCCTCTTCTATTTTGTACGGTCACGGTTAAGTTACGTTAACATTTTATATTGATTTTTTTATAAAGATAATAAGACAAAAAATAATAGTAATATAAAATGTTGACCTGACTTAACTATGACCACACAAATAGAAGGAGATGAAAGTGAATAGGAAGTGGGAGGGCAGAGAAGCCAGGTTCATAAAAAAAAATAAATAAATAAATCCCCTGCACATGCTACAACCTCCAAAGTAGAAAAAACGCAAGACACATGATATCACTTCAAGTTAATCTCCCAATGAAGTTTTTCCTTACAATCCTTGAAAATCTTTAATCCAATTATCTCCCATATAATTCGTCGTACCGTCATAACCTTCATCAGGAAAGAAATCCAATAAAAGTAATACAGCCAAAGCGGCAAAAACAAGATCATTAGATATAAAACAAAAAGCAAAGCATCATGTAACTGTTCGAAAACTCAAATTGAATAATACATAATAATCAAGTTCCACCAATGTAAAACTCAATAAGGAAGACAGTTCATACCACTAAACTATAAAGAAAACGGACAGAGAAATGAAGGTAACCGCACCAAGTTTATTCCTTGAACCAATACATTTTTCAGTAACAAAACCGAGAGTGCTGTAAACTAATCCAACAAATCTGGGCTAAGTGAGAGTAAGATGAGAGAGAGAGAGAGAGAGAGAGAGTTTAATTCATGAAAGAATGTGTCTCTAAATTCTAACTCAAAGGCACCACTGTGATCGAGTTACAGGATGCACCCCACCGTAGCCAAGGCAACGATTCCCTTTACTCTCAGTCTCTCTGGGGTTGCATTAATTTGCATGGCATTGGCATCGTTTCCAAATCATTGTATCCCTACACAGACAGACACCATACACGTTATATATACACACCCCACGGCCACCACCATCTCTCATCATCCATCAACTGTACGTGCTGTCACTATTAATTGTTAGAAAACAGTGTTGTCCTTTCAACAAGATGGATACTGGATCGGTCTTGCTCTTTCTTGCAGTGGCTGCTATAATCTTCTTTTGCCCATTAATCATGGGACCGCTGAACCCTCCGGCGCTCCCGCTGATGGTTGCCTTCGCAATGGTTTTAGGAGCCGTCTGGATCGCTCTGAACCATGCATCTAAGTGATGAATATGATGCCAGTGGCAGAGTTATGTTATATGTGTACTCCTCTATGCATGCACAGACTGCATGAGAAATAATAATAATAATAAAAGAATAATAATTTTGTTATTGGCTTAATTTGTTTATTGGTCCCTTAACTTTTCTTTAGCTTCTGTAGCCCCTTAAGTTTGTGGTCAAATTTGTAACGTTTTCCTTCTATTTTATTTCATGTTCGGGGAGAGATTTACGAGTTGGGCTAACTCCGAGTGCAACCAAATCCCATAGAAAATTTAATAGAAAAAGTACCACTTCTTACTAATAATTCGATACATATTGTCTTTTGTTCTTAACTTATACAGTGACGACTGTGACATATTTGCATTAGCTTAGGTTACTTTGAAAGGTTTTATCGTTTATATGTCTCGACGTTTTTTTTTTTTCTTCCTCAATTTGCAAATTATGTCTTCTTACCCTGTAGTTTGATTCACACATTTACAAATTCAAGGGGAAAGAAATTAAGCTCCTTATTGTTTGGAAGGTTCAAGTCTGTACACAAAACCGACCACTGATCCACTGGGGCTAACTTTTGGTCTCCAATGAAGATGGATCAAATCCTCGCTTTCAGGAGAATCCATTCTCCTTAAATCTTCATACATAAAGCTACAAGATTTACGAGTTTTATATTTAATTTCTTTTATATATATACATGCATACAACAAACATGGCTTTTGAGAGTAAAATCTAAGACTCTCTACTTACAGTGGGAAATATTACCGAATTTTACAAGTATAACTTGGTTAGAATTATGATAGACTAGGATTCAATGTTATCGAAGGACAAACTCATCTTCCCACTAAAAAGATAAATAAACTCAAAACCTATTTTATTAAAAGAATTTTTTTCAGTGTGACCGGGACACAGGGTAAGCTATATGTCATTTTACAATTAAAGGAAAAAACATTTATTGGTTTTTTTTTTCTCAAAGTTATTTATTTATTTTGAGGTTAATTTTTTGGGAGCCTTACTTATAGAGACACAAATATATACCATATTTCACACAACTCTACACCTTTTAAAATATTACAAGGAGAGACAAAAAACCCAATAACAGAAAACTAAGCCCAAGAAAAAAAGAAAGGACCGACTAAATTACGGCCCATACCCCTCAACTATAATTGTTAATAAACGGACACGTTAACCACTACACGACAAAAAATTATAAAACTAACTGGTTTCCCTTTTCCCTTATTCAATACCCGCGGTTTCATCTTCCCCAAACCTATTATTTCAAATTCCTTTCAAGCAAAAGATACTTCCCTAGAAAAAAGACCCTAAAATCTCCATAGTTTCCGACACTTTCAAGCCAGATTTTGGGTAATTGATTCACAAAGTTCAGCTGGATTTCCAGAAAGATCAGTGCTTCAAAGCTTTTCCTACTACTCAAAATCGTTCCTTTGCATGATTATATTTTGAACTACGTCAAAAATGAATGCATTATCAAGTGTTTTTGCACTTGTTTTTGCAAGAGACACTTTTCAAAGCTGTAAAAAACACATGCATTATCAAGTGTTTTATGCACTTGATTTTACAAAAAATTCAGTGTTCCAGTTCGAGAAAAAACTATTTCAATGTTATAGATGTTTCAGTTTCGTTTTTTAGTTTTTATGTATATTGATTCTTCAACAACATCTGAAAAAGAAAATGAATATGCGTCTAAATTTTGTGAGTAAAAACATTAACCGTCTAGCTCGATGCTGCACTTTGAACTGATGTTGTACTTTGAACTGATGTTGCACTTTGTAAATTAATTATGGTTCTACTTTCTGTTTGTAAATTGGTTCTGCACATAAATATGTTGTAGAAAAAGAAAAAAGGAATCTGCATCAAGCTTGTGTACAACCAATTTTGCATCTACCTTGTTTGCTAATTGATGCTACATCTACTTGGCCGCTAAGTGATACTGCATCTACTTGCGCACTAAGTGATGTTGTACATGGCTTGTGCGTTAAGTGATGTTGCATAAAGTTTGTGTGCTTACTGATGCTACATCTAGCTTGTGTGCCTAGCATTTGTCCTTTTGCATCTAGTTTGTCATTTATATGACTTCATATTATTTGATTAAAAATTATACTCATTATCATTTCATTTTTTTTATGAAGATGATGCCAAAAGTAAAACATTTTGCAATAAAAAAAAAATCAGCTCCAAAATCTCTTGCTATAAAGCGTCCGGTGACAAATGATACGTATGTTCAAATAAGACTAAATCTCTTAGCTTTTGCAGAACTAATACAAGAGATCAAGCCAAAACTTGATGAAAAACCAAAAGTCTTGGCATTCATATATAAGTCACATTTTGGTAGACTAATGAAAACTTACATAAAAGGTGAATTACAAATGAAGAAATCAGACTGGATGTCATACATATAGTGAACTGGTAAACACTGAAAAGGGAGTGTTTAAATTCAAAAATGGATATTGCAA